AGTGGTATTTAGGTTTAGCAGAGACCAAATGTTCTCGCCTTCTCACTTTTTTTTAACACGCAGAGGGTTATTTCGGCCGGGTAGGGTTACACGGGGTTTTTAGAGCCTAGGCCCGCAACCCTACCCGCCCATCGCGGGTTGGGCTAATTATAAACCGAAAAAAACCCTATATTTTCAAGTAGGATAGGATCGAATAGGTCGAGTTAGTAGGGTTCGGGGTGATTCCTTACACCCCTAAAGTTAATTAATTCATTACTTATTCACCCCTTCATTTTGCTTAACAAAGGACGAAAACAACTAAAAGAAAAAAGAAAACAAAAACAACGAGCTAACCAGCAACAGCCCCATCATATGATTTTCGCATGTCATGATTAAAATTTTGAAATGTCTCATCATTTAAGCTTATGCAAAAATTTGTGTTCTGCTATTGTAATGAAAATAATTGTTGTTGATAAAACAAAAGTAGTACATTTATGACCATATAAACTACAATCAGAGCCAATATATAACATATTTTTTTCGTAAAATGAAAAAGGGTGTAAACAACATGATAAATCAATCAGGCAATAAATATAATTTTTCTAAAAGAATAATGATCTCAACACTATTTCATATTTCTGCAGAAAGAGTTCTAGAAAAAATACTAATTGACATTATATTTTCTAGGTCTCGTGCACAATATAACTAAAAACTTGTATTTTAAAGCTTAGTAATTTCTAGCATTACACGTAAGAATTTGAACAAAAAAATATACGATCTGATTTGCTTGCACTGCAAGTTGACCTGGCTTTGCAAATTATCAATTGGCTTCACTTTCAATATTTGCATCTTCCATAGCCTGGTTAAAAAAGAAAATTATAATTATAAAATGAGTTATTCAAAATTATATGAGATTCAACATAAATATTAAACAACGAACGTACTTGGATCTACGTCGGTGATGGCTCCCGTTTGTCCGAAATCACAATCATAGCCGTTCCTTCCCATGACCTGGTAGTACGTGTTCATGGCGTACGCAGCATGGGCTCTCACAGTATTGGGAGCAAAGCATGGCCCACCTTCTTGAATTGGCCCACAGTCTAAGCCCAGCCCACATATATAGTCAATGTTCCTCTGCAAGGCGTCGGAATCAACCCCTGTTTTGGGCAAACACCACTGCTTTTCACTCCCCTCGGCCAGTGGCATTGGACTCCACGGCTCCGTCGATAAACTTGGGCCTGGGCCTGGGCCTGGGCTTGGGCCTTGGATCGGGTTCACGGGCACGAAAGAACGAGCCTGTCATAAAGCCAAGGCGACAAACCAATCAAGTAATAAAGAAGAGAATACTCCCGCGGGAGAATATCTCTACTCGTAGCGTCATTTTTAACCGTCAGATAATAACATAATCAAACCGTATGTAAATCTAACGGTTGACTACTCATGTATTTATTTGTACCCTACCAAAGAATTCTTCTAATAAGAATTACGATGATTATTATCAAACATGTTTTAGGGTGGTTTTCGACGGCGGTGGATACCGTGGGCCGAAGGATGCCGACATCATAAACGGGCGTCATATCAGGCCGGAAAAGCCCAAAATTCCTCTCGCAAACCGGGCCGGGCTTGAGATCCTCATTGAATAGCGCGAAAATGTAGGTCTCAAAAGTCCGGTTTGGCATGAGCGGCGTGCCGGCGCCGGACGTCACGTGACGCACGAGGTTCCCATTATACTCGGCCGCGCTGGTGGTGTCCACGCCAACTTGGGCCTGGTCTCCATGAGAGGGCCAACCCGTTTCGGCTATCACAATATCAAGGTCCGCAAAGCCCAAACCATTCATAGCGGAGTAAACCGCGTCCAATTGGGCGTCCAACATGTTGGTGTACTTGAGCTCGGTGTTGTCATCAAACACGCCCGGGTTGGGCCGAAAGAGCGCGTAGTCGAGGGTCTCGGCGGAGCTGCCGAAGAACGGGTAAGGATTGACCATGAAAGGCGAGTTTGTGGCTCTGAGAAAGCCTAGCAAGGGCTTGAGAACATGGGTGTCGTAGCCTTGGCGGAACTTTCCGGTGGAAGGAGGGGTTGAGGAGGACAAGATGCCGAGAGAGTGTGGGGTGGTCAGCTTGATGCGGCGGTCGAGGCCGAGGTCGACGAGGGAGGCCTGGAGGGCCTGGAGGGCGGGGACGAGGGAGGCGATGAGGAGCTTGTTGGCGGTGGAGAGGACTTCGTTGCCGACGAGGATGCGGACGATGTTGGTGGCGGGGACGTGGGGCTGGACGTTGGTTTTGAGCCATTCGTGGGCGGCGGGGAGCTTGGTGAGGCGCGGGATTTGGTCGTTGGGAACGGTGACGGTGACGGTGATGCCCGTGTGGGCGAAGGCCCGGAGAATGTCGGGGTCGGCGTCGAAGAGCCGGACGCGGTTGATGGTGGTGGATTCTACGAGGAAGTGCGCAACTTCCGACGGCGGTGGGAGGTTGTCCGCCACTGTTCCGTAGTTCACTCCAATCGCTCCATGTCCTCCTACAAAAGAAGAAAAAAATTAAAAAAATTGCACAAGACACTTAAGACATTGCGTGTTAATTTCTATACATACTAAAATTTTGTTTGAAAATTTGAGATAATTAGAGTAAGTTATGATCCGTCGGATTTTTACTAATGTGATTATTTAATTACAATATAAACATTTTTTTTTTTTTTAGTACAATGCAAACTTGAGTTTGCACCCTCTCAAAATTGTCATAACTCCACCTTAATCCGGTGATCATTTACGTATGAATAAGTTAATTGAGTAATATGGATATAGGTGTTTCATTTTAGAGTATTTGTATAGTCTACATAACCATTTTGTCCATAATTGAATTTGACTAACCAATAATGTCACAATCTCATTTCTTAAATGCATGCATCTCAAGTATGATTTTTGAAATGCATAATTACATATGTATACATACACACACACACATATATATATATAGACACTAGATATATTCTTTGAAATATGCATGAAATTAAGGAGGATTGAATAGTGTACGCACTACATGAGTACCTTGGAGGAAGGTGGAGATGACAAGGAGAGAAAGAGAGGCTGCAAAATAGGCAAAATTAGCGGGAATTAGAGGAGGAGTAGTCGTTGCCATAACTGTGTTGGAAGGTGTGACGGTGGTGAAAAATGTTAGAATTCGATGCTAGAAGGCACGTAGACATTGTTGAAGAAGAAGTAAGCGAGAGATGCTTTGCTTTGGGATTGGGAGATTATGATATCTTGCTGCCAAGGGTCAGGAGTACATTGTTTTTGAGAGCTTTAGTTTCTGTGCTTGCCTTTTTCAGGTGGGTGACTTAGGAGACGTTTAATTCATGGATTAGAATCATGAGATTAAAATTATTTTTGATTTACGTGTATTTTTATGAGAAAAAATACTGTAGCGAACAACGAATCATAATTCGAATTGGGGTACGAATCCCCTAACCAAATAATCCCTTAGAATTGTAGTACTACTTCGGCTTTTTCTTTGAATATGTTCCATCTTTTTTGTCTTCCCTTGGGGGAAAAAAAAGCACTATTGGTTGTCGTGATTTGGGATCTAATTAAAAGTGTCGAATTCCACAGAATTTTGATGCACCCCATTGAAAGCAACGCATGTTGGCCATGTATGTATGAATTAGAAGTTAGTTTGGTGACTGCTATAGGGAGAAATTGCCCTTTATGGGGCTGAACCAAGCCGTTACTCTTGCTTTGGTTCGTGGGAAGAAATAATTCTTTCTTACCACAAAGGGAAGGTATATATGTATCATAGAAATTAGAAAAATTATGGCCGTGTTTGGAATTGATTCCATTTTTATTTTTTACGTTTTTCAAAAAAGAAAAAATAAAAGCGCAATAAAGATAAAAAATGGAAATGAAAACGATTTTTTAGTTTAGTATAAAATAAGAGAGAAATGAAAAACGACTTTTAGTCGTTTTTCATTTTTTATTTTCGTTTTCTCCTCTCTCGAGCAAAGAGAGAGAAAGAGAGACATAATTAATGGATTTTTTTACACTGAAAATAATATCTTGATAAAACTACCAAACACGTTTTCAAAAATGATTTATGTCTGAGATTGAAAACGTTTTCATTTTTATTGTCATATAAAAAATAAAATCATTTTGGATTGAGTTCCAAACGCGCCCTATAAGTGCTTGTAATCTCTTAACTTTATTCAAATTATGATAATCTTTTATTTTTTAAATTGTTATAGCCTGTTAATGTAGACTCATATGATGATTAAGAAAAAGGAATAAATAAAGTACCCCTCAAGATTATGATAATGTTCTATTTAAAATCCCCCTAGTTGAAGGTCCGACATCTTTCTAGTTTTTTTAATCATGTAGTATTAGAGAAAAGCTTTCTATGAGGAGGTACATCACTAAATTATTTGTTCGATATCACATCAAATAAAAAAAAATATAAAATTGAGTGGATATTTCTTTAGATATTTTGTTCATAAAACACAAAATCATGTGTCACATGACCAAGGACATTCCTTAATTTATCCAAGTAGTACATGACCAAAAACCCTCCATTTATCTCTATCCTACATCTTTTTTTTACATGGACCTTAGCTTGCCAAATCCAATGGAATATGATTAGCATTTAGATGGCCGGAGTTATGACCAGCTTTATCTAATACTAATTATCAAAAAAAGTAGTGGGTTTTTTTTTTTTTTTTTTTTTTTTTTTTTTTTTTTTTTTACTTTAAAGAAGTGGAGTAGGGATTAGCCTTTGCATTTATTGGCATTTGTTGAGATTTAATTCAACCAGACATAAAACCTACTTGAGTTCTTGTTATAATTTCATAGGATTTTGTACAGAGAGCTTTTACTAATTGTTGTAACAAATTAGTTTCACGCGCACTTCAATCGCCCAACAACTAATTATAAAAAAAACGCCTAACAAATAAATTAACGTAGAGTCCGTTTAGGTCGCTGGTTCGAGTTTTTAATTCGAGTTTATATGTGACTTTATGTGAGAGCTTTTTACTGTGGTAAAAAAGTTAAATGTGACTGTTTCTAAGAACTTTTTACTGTAACAAAACTCGAATTATAAACTCAAATCGGTAAAATGAACGGAGCCGCAGGCTTTTCATTTAGAAGTGGCTTAAGAAATATGCAGATTAACTTATAGTTTTTCACACGGAGATTAGATCGAGCATAGTCAATTCCAATGAGAGTCAGAACGTTGTTGGAATCAAATTTGACGATCTAGACTTAATCAAAAAGATGTCATATAAATCTTACTTTGTCATGCACTGCTCTTGCAAAATCTGCATCAATTTGTAATAGTCGCGTATAATTATGCCCCGTTCACTTCACCGATTCGAATTTAGAATTTGAATTTTGTTACAGTAAAAAGTTCTCGGAAACAATCACATCTAACTTTTCTCACATAAAATTACATCCCTTAGAGTACGTAAACAAGACCAAGACCCAAATAAACTATTGAAAGGTCATTCTCGTTCCTATACATGTACAATAAAATGAGTATATACGTACACCATACATTATAATATATTCACTGATCGATGTTGTTATAGTTTATAGACATTAAAAAAGAAAAAGAAAAAGAAAAAGTGTAATATATTCCCTTTCCTGACTCCTCAAACTGAGTATCAATGAATTAATATTTAGCCTTTTAGACCCTTGTGTATATACTAATTCTTATATACAAAGAATTTGATCCTTACAGATAACATTCTGCAACCCAGTATGATTGGTCAAAAACACCCAAAAATAAAAATTAAAAAGAAAAAACAAAACAAAAATAATTGAAGGGACTAATCACTGCTTAGGTAAAATTTTTAGACTATTTTCATCTTTGAATATATATATATATATATATATAAGTTTTCTGTTTTGATCTTTTAATTACCAGTACTTTAAGAAAGCAGCATAGAAAACAGAGTACATATTCAAGCTTTTAAGCTACGATTAGAGAAAGAGCAAGACTTATCTGGTTCACGAACTCGTGAAATTAGCATTCAATTAGCAACTGAGAGATGACATATTATAATGCCAAGAAAATCTCCAGCTTATAACATTGCTTGCTCAAATGAGCATCTCAGAAAACCAGCAGCAAATTAACTGATATTAATACGCGGATAGACTAATGCTACTGTTTCTGGAATACTCATTTGAGCAAGAAACATTACAAGTGGATATATTATTCACATCTCTCTCTCTCCTCTCTCTCTATCTCTTACTTTCTCTCTCTCTCTCTTACTTTCTCTCTCTAGCTATCTGAAGCCCTTCTCAACAAGAACCCTATCTGATAAAAAGAGTCCAAGAACAACCTAGCTAACATATAGAGGATGTGCGCACAAACACTTTGTCAAAATACCAAAAATGCCACTCTAGCTAGCGTGGTAGTACACTGGTAGTGCAGGAGTCGACAGTTCTATTTCTACCAGTTATTTCACAAAGCGGCGTCGTTCAGTGGGAGTTTAAAGGAGAATAGTACTGAAGGCCGGGAGAATGTGGTAATTTTGCATGCTTGCATTGCATGGTTGACGTTTGACAGTTGGTTCAGGTGAGACCGTTTCATGGAATGGCAGCTAAAGATGGTAGTTCTAGTTCATGAATCATCACCAACCACCAAACGTGCTATTTTGTTATGAACTATAAATACAAATATTAATCTTTGAATTTATAAGTCTGGGAGATGTTTATTTTCTGTATTCGTCTCTGATTCTGAATCATAATTCATGGTTCTCTATAGTATTTTTTTCTCACAAAAAACACACATAAAATGAGAATAATTCTGAATTATAATTATAAATTCATGAACCAAACATCCATTAATTATCAAAAAAATTCAGAATTATTTATAAACAGTATAATTCACGCATCATTATCATTATCATTCTACCACGTGATGAATGGCTTAAAATAGGACAAGTGGGCAATGAAATATTAGGCTAAAAAGTTCAAGCCCTAATTTGAACGGATGGAATCAGTCGTTGTCACTCATTAAAGAATTTATCTATTCAGTTTTCTTCTACGGCAAAAATATATGTTCTTTTTCTCTGATGATTGGTAGATTTAGAAAAAGAAATCATATATTCATTTTCGGGATGACTCAAAATTAAAGGGGTTTAAAAATTTTGTGTATATATGGTCCCGTTCATTTTGACAATTTGAGTTTAAAATTTGAGTTTTACTACAGTAAAAAGCTCTCAGAAACAGTCACATCTAACTTTTTACTACAGTAAAAAGTTCTTACATAAAATCACATCTTAATTCGTATTAAAAACTCAAATTAAACGAACTAAACGGTCCCATAATAAGTTAATCCAACTAGTTTTCAGTTATTGTATATACTGCACACATCTTTAGTCTGCAAGCTCTTAAATAAATTCACAAACACAGGAAGGCTAATTAAGTTCACAAACTAGGAATATTTGCAACAATATACTCGTTTCTGGGTATTATAGATGAGTCAAAATTAGGCTTTAATGCCACCAAAAGTAGTTGGTGACACTACAACAATTTATTTATTGCTCACTACTTTTTTATTGATTCTTTTTGGTGGTTGGACTTTTGTTGCTTAATATATTTGATGCACATGTGATTAATTCCTCCACATAACTATTTTAAATTAACTTGTGAGTAATCAGCTTAAGTTCTTTTGTTCTTCTTTTCACGTTGTTTAAGAAAAAGGGGTCCCACAACTCTACATTTTTAAAGGAATGAAATGTTTAGTTAAGCATAATCATAAAAGACAAATTCCTATGGTTGTTGCAAATAAAGTGAATGATACACCCGACCCAACTTAAGAAAACATCTGAAAAAGGAGGAAACAATAATAGAATCCAAATCAACAACAGATTAGGCTTGGTCTGTTTGGTGTTGGTGTATGGTGGGCACATATACATATTATATATGCTCGTGACTGGCATAGCTGAAAAGGGACTAAAATCTAAATATTAAGGCCTCCTTCACTTCGCGGATTCGAGTTTTCAATTCAAGCTGAGATGTGATATTTTCTGATAGTTTTTTAGAACTTTTTACTGTAAAAACTTAAAACTGAAAACTCGAATCGGTAAAATAAATGAGGCCTAAAATAATAAATACAAAATAGTGGGAAGTGCGCATCCGGGGAATCGAACCCCGGTCAGTACCGTGGGAGGGTACTATGATACCACTACACCAGATGCGCTTGATGGAAGTTATTTATATAAATTTATAATATAACTAAGACTTAATATATATTTGCTTTTTACTATTTCTAAATCCTTACCGGCTATATGTATATTTTTAAGCTTTATTTCCACATGCTACCTGAAGATCAATAAAACCTTAAAATACATTTTTAATTTGTTGCTTTTTCTCCCGTCTACCATCTATTATTATCCTTGATAATGGGGTCAGGAGCCTAAGGAAGCAAACAGTATTTCATGCCAAACCACAATGACAAAAAAATAAGGAACCAAAAAGAAAAGGGAATCTATATAGATCATAAAATGGCAAATAAAAGTCATATCTATTTTGTCATTCAAATTAACAAAGACACATGACAGAGATTCAACAAGACAGTGAACCAAACACAAATTGGTGCTTTACAATATGGATAATACATCATTGTACAAGATAGCAGCCTCCAATTAATTTAATGAATAGCAGCCTCGTCCATTTATTTTGAACGCTTTGACAAGATAATGATCATCGGCATCCGAGTTCAACTCTTCCGTCGGGGCTAATGGTTTTATTTGTGCAAAGCTTCTGAAGATCAACATATCTTATAATTGTATCCTCAAAGACACTACAACAATAGAGGCCATTTGCGACGACATTTTTTACAACGACATTTGTCGTTGCAAAAAATACAATATTTGTGACGACACGTCGTCGCAATTACTCCCCGTTAAATAAAATAACAATGTCGTCGCTAATAATTTTGAAGCGCAAATTTCAATGGTACGGATTTTTGCTGCCAAGGTAATCTATTTTTTGCGACGACAAGTCATCGCAAATAATAAGATATTTGCGACAACAAACGTCGTCGCAAATAATTTCATGTTATTTGCGACGATATTTTTTTTTGTCGTTGCAAATAATCTTTTTAAGGTTTCACCAAAAAGTAAACGCGGGAAAAATAATTATTTCCAACGACATTTTAAATTTATTTGCGACGATAAATGTCGTCGTAAATAATTTCATGTTATTTGCGACGACATTTTACGACGACATTTTCTCTTTGTCGTCGCAAATAATCTTTTTAAGATTTCACCAAAAACTAAACGTGAGAAAAATAATTATTTGTGACGACATTTAAATTTATTTGCGACGACAATGTCGTCGCAAATAATTCTGATCTAATATACCCTATCTTCTTCCTCTTCATTTTTCCCCGACGCTTTCTCTCTCTTTCCTGCTAAGTCTCTCTCTCTGCCTCTTCTTCCCCTAGCCGCCGCCGCCGCCACCGGCCCTCTTCTCTCTCTCTTCCCTTCTCTCTCCTCCTTTCTCTCTCTCTCTCTCTTCCCTTCTCTTTTCTTCCCCTCTCCGGCTGCCGCTGCCACTCCCGCCACCCCGCCCCACCACTCCTCTCTCCTCTTCTCTCTCTCTCTTCCCTTCTCTCCCTCTCTTCCCTTCTCTCTCTCTCTTCCCTTGCTCGCTGCAGCCACCGCCACCGCCGGCCGGATTCCGCCGCCGCCCCGCCGAATCGCCCATCGCCGCCTCACAGTTCGACGTTCACCGGTTTGTTTTACACACTTCGGTAACTTTTTTATTGTTTTTATGTGTTTTGTTGAGTTGTTTGTAAAAATGTCTAAATGAAGTTTCTAAACATTTACTATGAGGCTGAGTAAATATTAGTTTATGACGTTAATTTAGAATTATTTTTGAACTAGTGGTTAATTTATTAATTTACATTATTTGTTAACATAATTAGATTTATTGCCGAGGAATGAAATTTTTTTGTGTATTTAAATAAGTTTAATAAAATGTTAATTTTGGTCACGTTAAATTATGTTCGATGTTTCAATTTGATGTAGGCGTTTGATTTTTCGCCTTCGTCATTGTTTGTCCGGTTCTTCCGACGTAATCCCGCTATTTTCAGCCCTCGTTTAGTGGGTTTGAACTTTGTAAGTTTTTTTTTTATATTTATTGTACTTTTAGTTTAAAATTGTTGTAGTTTTTGGTTGTATGAATTCGGGATTATGATTTTGATATTTGAACTATGATTTTTTTATATTGTTGAAATTTAGTATATGTTTGTGATTCTTGTTCTGGGTGGCACATCTTGCAGTTATGGTGTGCTGAAATCTTTTAAAATTATTTTTCTGCAGGTTTAGATTTTTGGATCATAACAAACTTTAATGAATAAAATTTAATTGTATTAATAAAGAGTAAAATTAAAATTAATTAAACACATTAATAAATTGTTATGTCTGTTGTTATGTATAGTTGAAATGCCGATTGATAAAAATTGGATTTATTTGAGGAACCGATTGTCGAATCAATATTGGAATGGGTTATCTGTTTTTATTGAGGTCGTCAAAAATTATGAAACTTCAAGTGGCCATATCAGGTGAAGGTGTTAGAGTTGATGGCTAAATTGCAGCCCAACATCCAATTACCTACGATTGATCGTCCAGAACCAGTTGACCTAGACGCTCCTCTGCCTCCTTCAGATGATGACGGTCCTGATGATGATTCAGATGCTGGCGATGCTGCAAACTTAGACGATTAGTTCCGTTATATGTACTTTTTTATTTTTCACGTTATTTAGTCTTTTATATTTTTTTGAACATTATATATGCACTTCATGTAGTATTTATAATATATTTTATAAATTTATTTAAATTTACTGTTTTTAATATTAATTTATATTTCACTTTTAATGTATCTTAATAAATTCTATTCAGTAAAATAATAATGTTTAATTAAAAATATTAAAAATTAATTAATTGTCATTTTTAAAAAATTATAAAAAAAATTAATTTTAGTTTTTTGCGACGACTTTTTTAGACTTGTTGTCGCAAAAAAATAAGATTATTTGCGACGACAATTTGAAATGTCATTGCAAAAAATGGATCATATCACGAGAAATTTACAACGACGTATTAGCGACACTTGTCGTTGCAAATACATTTGCGACGATACTATGTCGTCACAAAAAACGTTTTTGCAACGAATTATTTACGCCGATAAATTTGCGACAACATGTTGTCACAAAAAACCTTATTTGCGACGACATGTGGGTTTTTGCGACGACTTTTTATCGTCGAAAAACTCCTTTTTCGTGTAGTGAACTGCATCATCAAATGTGGAGCCTGAATAATGATTGTACTGTGTTCTTGAACAAAGCTCCTTGGAGATCAGCTTTCTCAAAATTAACTTGATATATTTCCGCATTCGAGAAGTCCACACCTGCAAAAGATTTAGGGTCTCCATTATCTTATTAGACTCATTAAGATGATGTAATTTATTTTTGCTAGGATTTAATGTGTAATAATGTTCATATTCAAACAAAGAAAAAATATGGTAGATTCAAAAGGTACTTAAAGGATATATATATATAGGGCCCGTTTAGTTCGCTTATTCGAATTTTTAATTCGTGTTGAGATGTGATTTTATATGAGAGCTTTTTACTATAATAAAAAAGTTAAATGTAACTATTTTTTAGAGCTTTTTACTGTAACAAAACTCGAATCAGTAAAATGAACGAGGCCATAATATATCCTCAAAATCTTGCTTAATTTGCTTTGAATTGTTGTTGTGAATAGCTAACCTTTGCTAATGTCAAAAACTAGAGAACTCTATTTCAGATTTTCAAAGGAACATCCTTCTTTACCTCAAATCATGTCAACAAAACCAGATTGGTGATGATATTTTGGTATTTGGTAGCTTCCATAATCAACATAGTTGGAAATGTGACTTGGTCGCAGTACTTTATGTTTTCTTTTATAATCAACAAGGGGGAAAATGGAACACTCAATCATACAGGACACATAATGATTACTCTTGAAGCTAGTTCCAACAGCATAGGGAGACGTTTGGTTCATAAATTAGAATCATAAAATTAGAACTATTTTTGATTTACGTGTATTTTTTGTGAGAGAAAACACTGTAGCGAATTATGAACCATGATTCGAATCCCCCAACCAAATAAGCTCTTAGACATTACCACTTCCGTCATGTCTGCGCCGTTGAATTTCGCATCGGACATGAGTGCTGCAGCTAGAGATTTCCCCTTCAAGTTGGACTTCTCGTTTGTGTAATTACAGAAACGGAGATCAAGCGGCTTGTCGTACACGCCATTTGCTTGGCCTATAGTGTTGCCAACAAATGCGCGTTCGCATCGGTTTGGCTCGGTCGACAATGGAGGCAATCTCCGCATTGCAAAACAGAAATCCACCAATCACATTGGTAAAGTATCAAGACAACAATCATCAATCATCACATATAGAAGCATAACTTTTACGTGTAAAAAATAGAAGCAGACGTCAAAATCTAAAAGAGTTAGCCCTCGTTCGCTTCGTAGATTTGAGTTTTCAATTCGAGCTGAGATGTAATATTTTTTTAGAGTTTTTAACTATAACATGTGATATTTTTTAAGAACTTTTTAACTGGAGACTAGAAATTTAAAACTGAAAACTCAAATTAGTAAAATAAACGAGACTCTAATTTTTTAAAATATAACTATAATGAGAACTTTATGCTAGGTACGATGTTTCAAACCGTCACATATATCAAGTTTCGTATATTTTTTTATTCTAAGAAGATTTTGCTCGATACACTATCGACAAAGGATAATCTTCTATAGAAACCTCCGATCCAAAGTACTTCTTTACCATCTTACCAAAATATACTCGTTGGATTGACTTATGCACATGGTACTCTGACAATTCTAAAGGAATGAATTAACAAATTCGATGAATTGAGAAGTAAAGAAAAGCAAAAGAGGGTGCTTTAGAGAATGAGAAAATGTGCTTAAATTGCTCAGTAGGAGACATTGTTTTCCTTCAGTTCTGGACCATCCTTAGAAACTTCTCCAAATTACACAAGCATAAATTGCCACTATTAGTTTGCAAAACAATGAAATACACAGAACGAAGCTGATTGACACACCAAAAAACCTTCTAAACTTTCCATATTAATACCCAAATGAGGTTAAAACAAAATAAATCACAAAACTTTCAACTACTCTTTTAATTAGAATTTGCATTGCAATTATGCCCAAAAAAAGCCGAAAACTAATTGACCGACCTAAAACGAAAAACGGGTTTAATTTTCTGACGAAAAACTTGGAAGTTGGAAGGCTTAACAGAGCAAAAGACACGAGGCGGTGGATAGGACTCGACTGGTGGAAGAGTATGGGGTTTCGATGGGTTGACACGGAGACGAAAAACGTTCTGGTTAAGAGGAATTGAAGTTGTTGCTGCCATTTTTTTTTCCTTCTTTCTCATTTTTCTACGACTGATCAATTTGACTTTTCTTGTGTTTCACTTCTTCTTCACCAATGCTATAGAACACTAGCGGGCTAAGCACTAATATTATATAGAAGATGGGGTCTCACAGTGTAGAGCTTATAAGTGAGACTCATCTTTAGAGAAGTAAGAACGGGTTAGCCTGACTGGTTCTTAAGTTCATGCAGGGCACAAGCTAGGCCGGCCTAGCCCATGAATTTGTTCTGGTTAAGAGGAATTGAAGTTGTTGCTGCCATTTTTTTTTCCTTCTTTCTCATTTTTCTACGACTGATCAATTTGACTTTTCTTGTGTTTCACTTCTTCTTCACCAATGCTATAGAACACTAGCGGGCTAAGCACTAATATTATATAGAAGATGGGTCTCACAGTGTAGAGCTTATAAGTGAGACTCATCTTTAGAGAAGTAAGAACGGGTCAGCCTGACTGGTTCTTAAGTTCATGCAGGGCACAAGCTAGGCCGGCCTAGCCCATGAATTTTGTGGGCCGGATTGGGTTGGGTTAGGCTGGCCCATATAAGAATGACATCGGCCCAGCCTCCATCACGGGCTAATTTTATGTGGGTTAGGCTGAGCTGTGTTATGGGCATTGAATGGATTGGCTTACTCAAGACTCATCATGGGTTTAGATAGGTCAGTCCATCTAAGCATGTAATTTTTAATTTTTTAATTTTTTAATTTTTAAACAAGTTAATAAATATATAAGTTTGAATAGACCAGCATATCTAAATATGCAATTTTCAATTTTTTATTTTTAAATTTTTAAACAAGTTAACAAATATATAAATTTGAAGAGTTAATGGAAATATGAAAAGAAATATTTTATTTATGATTACCTCATTAAAATAAAAACCTTTCTAAGGAAAATTCAGTGAGACAAAACCTTGGTAAGGAAAAAAGAGTACAATCAGGATAATTATGCATAAGATGTTAACAAAATTACTAAAAAAAAACATGAAGATATTATGGGCTGGGTTGGGCCGGCCCATTATGGGCCTAGACGGGCCAGGCTGGGCTGGCCCATCATGGACATAGACGGGCTGGCCCAGCCCAGCTTGACTCATGATTTTTCATGATCCATACCGGGCCGGCCCATAGACTGATATATGTTAGCCCAGCCCAACCCACCCATATTTATGGGTTGAACCGTGCCTTAAACAGTGACGAATTTACCGTCTTAACCCATTACTGTGTTAGGATGGGCCTGAACCGGCCCACAGATACTAAAAAAAAACATGAAGATATTATGGGCTGGGTTGGGCCGGCCCATTATGGGCCTAGACGGGCCAGGCTGGGCTGGCCCATCATGGGCATAGACGGGCTGGCCCAGCCCAGCTTGACTCATGATTTTTCATGATCCATACCGGGCCGGCTCATAAACTGATATATGTTAGCCCAGCCCAACCCACCCATATTTATGGGTTGAACCGTATCTTAAACAGTGACGGATTTACCGTCTTAACCCATCACTATGTTAGGATGGGCCTGAGCCGACCCACAGATCCCGACTCATTGTTACAACTCTACCCATCTTCTATTAGATGGTAGTATTTTAATATTTTTCCTTCTTAGCCGTTGGTTGTTCACAACACGTGATGTGGCATGACACGTCAGATGTCTCTTTTTTAGGATGTTTGGATGTGGATGAGTGATAATCTTATCCTGGTTATGTCTAATGAAGGTTTTTCAATTCCCGGTTATGCCTTACGATTAGATATCTGATTGCAAATTAAAAAAAAAAAAAAAAACAATTTTATTAGTAAAATAATTTTTTATAATCTTTCTTTTTTTTTTCTTTTTTTTTTTTACAAAATAACTATGGAACAGCAAGAACGACCACTTTTTTTTAAAACAAAAAATAATAATAATAATAATAATAATAAAATGCTCAAAGTAGTTCGCGCCGCCATGGATGGGGTGGTTAGATTTTCGTTGTTGTTGTGGGGAGAGGAGCTTGGGTTCGTGCCGGCATGAAAAAGCAAGTGCTCTCTACCAATCTCTAATCTTAACTTCAAAAGTTGGTCTGTGGAACTCTCCTGCACTGAAAATCCCCCAAAAAAAAAAGCAAAATAAAATTTTAAAAAACAAACGAAAATGGAAAAGGAAAATAAAAGGCTTCTACGGATTAGAAACTAGGCATCAAACACGTCATGGCTCATGCCGGCTATGTACGTATATGTAGGTTCGATGGGTGTTGGCCCCGTTTTAATCTTCATAGTATCTTAGCGGAAAAATAAGGATAAATTTACGTAGTAAAAAATATTTATTTACATGAATTTTTTTTTAACAGTCATAAAAAGAAATTATGTGAAAAAAATATTTTTATTAGTCATAAATATATGTGATAAATTATTTTTTACTTTAAATAGTTTTAAAATATGTTATCTATTTAATTTAGTTTCATATATCTAGTATTTACTGCATTCTCTCTTATTTCATCACAGAATATTGTCGTCCAAAGTAGTATGAGTAAACATCGTTTGCTGTATGTTTCAAAATTTTTCTCTCACTTAATTCGGTAAAAACACATGTACTTGTCGTTTCTGCTTTTGTTGACATTTTCACAAATTAACGAAGATGGAAATTGTTGTCGTTTTCGCAAATAAAGGACGTGTCATTTACATGAAAAGCTTGTTCTTGCATTATTCAGAGGAGCAATATCTCGTTTGTCGTAGAAAACGTTGGTGCCTAAAGTTTGTCGTTTTCAACTCTTTTGTCGTGCAATTCATAGAACGACATGTATTTTCCGTTGAAGATTAAAGTAACGTCGTTTTATTAACATCAAGGACACGTCGTTTATGGTTCCACTCTTTGTTGACGTTAGTAATTCGACACGTTGATCCGACTACAACTTCATTGCCGCCTTTATTACAAGCAAGTAAAAACGACATATCGGTTTTCAAAGACCACAAAATATTAAAAATAATAATAATAATAATAATAATAGGCCTTTTTTTTCCTTTTAATAAAAAGTTATCCATTAAGACGCGTTTAGTGTTGTTATTTGTTTTGTCTTCTTCTCTTCTGAGCTCTTACCCTCTTCTGAGCTCTCTCTCTCTCTCTCTCTCTCTCTCTCTTCCATGGAGAACCAGGGCACGACCACATGCGAGAAGATCAACGGAATGGCGAACTTGCTGGGCACCTATGTGGCGTCGGCGTTCTTCGCGTCTCTCGAACGCTGCTCCTGTATCAACCTCTCCACCACCGACGACCACGACGCCGACGCCGACGAGAGCCACGACCGCCCTCTCATGCTCTCCTCCTCCAGATCCCTCAACCTATCCGACCACCGCGTCTCCGCCTCTCGGAACGACGTCGTCAACCTCCCCGTCTGAGATCCCGAGGTCGAGGTCTTCCTCTTTCTGTCTCCATTTTCTCTGTAATCTCTTGAAAACTTTGTAATCAGAAATTAACGAAATCGTTTGTTTGATTAATTTTTTCTTTCTCGTCTTCTTTTTGGTATTGTATTAATGATTTCTTGATGTGTTCGTTCGGAGGATTATCGCGGAACCGAATTGAAAGAATGATGAATTTTCCCTCTTTTCACGATTCCGTCCTTTGATTTGTGTATGTTCTTGCAATTTGTGACTGGAATTAATCGAAACAAGAACCAAAAAAAAAAGATTTATATTTTCTGCAATTTCTTGGATAATCTTGAAGGATTGTGATGTTTTAGGTTTTCAATTGCTTATCAAAATCTTTCTGGAAAACTAAATGCTGTTAAATCGTTGAATTTCTTGAATTGCTAATTCGATTGTGGTGTTATGTCATTCTTGGATTTGTGTGATCGAATTATTAATCACATTGTTAAATCGTTGTTATCCAGCTAGTAGTCTTTTATTACGTGCATTATTTGATTTTTGTTATTATTATTTTGAGGTCTTGCAAGGATTTAGATTTTGTTGAAAAAAAAATATTTTGTGATATTATTTTCTTTCTGCTACATGATTTATTAGTGTCCAAATTGTAAAGCTATCAAAATTGAAATTAATGTTCAAAATTTTGGGCAGAAATCGAGTCCATTATTCCGGATTAATTTATTTCCAGAATAAGATAATAATTAGCTACATGAGCTTGCTTTTCAACTTGTTAATTTCGATTGTATTCAAATTGTGGTTCTGAAAAGGTGAGAAAAAGGAAAAGTTATTCATAATCAATTACTTTGTTCAATGACCATAATGATGTGCTCTGCACCATAATGAGGAAAAAAAATAGTGTTCTGTGAATTTACGTGGATTTTTTTAATTTGTCAATTGCTCATTTACTTTAGATTTTGTATGAAAATGGACTTTTAATTTATTTATTTATTTTGATTTTATTTATTCACTTGCAATATTTTGAGGATCGAGAATTATAAAGCTCTCACTTTTTTTTTTCTTTTTAATGAAGCTCTCACATATTTTAGTCATGGATGATGCACTGTGGAAATATAACCATCAAATTCTGAACAATTACGATTATAAATTTATAATCTGGTAGTGCTTAGCTGTTGCGTGAAGATTTCCAGTGGAAATAAAAAATAAATAGAAATTATATTTCCGTTTTAAAAAATAAAGTCGTATGAGGTAAGATATAAGGTTGACAAAACTAGGAGTATAGAGTATGTTTGGAAAGTGTATTTGAATCATCATTTGAGTTTTGATTTAAATTTTTTGTGACATAACTATTTGAGAGAATTTTTTTAATTTAAAAATCCTTTGTGAGAAAAAAATATCATAATTTAAGTTTTGACTATATGTACTAAACAACCGCTAAATGATTTATTCTCACGAAAATAAATAAATAAAATCCCTAATGTTCAATTCTCACGAAAATAAATAAATAAAATCACTAATGTTCAGGTGAATGCTAGACAAATTGCCGGCGACGATAGGTTTCAACCACTTGGAAAAGTCTACAAATTATAAAAGCCAAATTCATTCGTTGACCATTTACTTTGGGAAGAAGGAAAAGATGACCACAATATATGCTTGTGATGAAATTCAAGAGGGTGGAAGTTGGGGCGGGTTGGCCTTTCCCGCAGCCTGCGCCCCGTTTGAGGCCTTGTCCTGTCTGTGCCCTGTTTGTTAAGGGAGGTGTCACGGGTTCGGGCAACCTGAGGGTTCATCGTTAACCCGTTTACAATAATACAGGAAAAAAAAAGCTTTTTTACATGAGTGTCCCCTTAACTTATCGCAATTGGTAAATTAATTCCTAAATTAAAAATTATGGCAATTGACCCTTCAAACTTTAAAAGTCTTGCATACCAAGTCCAATTGAAAACATGTTAAATTTTGGATAGATTTTCTTCACATGAGAATCACGTGACTTTAGAAAGAGGGTGTAATACATCTTTATATTTGAAATTTAACCCATATCATTTATTTTAAGAAAAGAAAACGAGAAAAATTTTAAAATTGAGAAAGAGAACAAAAACTGCGCTTGAATCTTTCAACATGCAACTTCTCAAAGAACAAGAAACACAAGCAGGTCTGAAACATCTCTATATTTGTTTATTTTAAATACAAACCAGCAACAATTTTTTTTTTTTTGGGAAAGGAACAAACCAACAATAACATCACTACCAACAAAAGAAAGTCAGAGTCTTAAATTGAACTACATTGTTTAAAATGAGAAAAGGCACATATATTTTCGTCGACCATATGTTTTGTTTAAAAATTGTCAAACCCGTCAGTTTTCATAAGAGGGGCGGAGAGTCCCCGAATGACTTTCATATGGAAGTTATGTGTACATGGATACATCTCCAAAAAATAATAAAAAATAAAAATAAAAACCTTACAAAAGATGAAACGCCCTTTCCTATTCCTTGTTGCCCAAAAGCAATTGTTTTTCTCAAAATAAGAACCCCAACAAAGAGTTAAAATATGAAATTTGAAGAAGAGGAAGACAATGAAGGGTATGCATATTAATTGGTAACCAGTCTTAACTATAGATTTTGGCCCCTTCTCTACTAATCTTGTTGTCGCCAGTGCCAATTTCGATATCGAGCTTTACTTTTCCTTTGTCCGTAAAAAAATATTCTATCTTGGTTTTATTGGATATGGTTATTTGCTGCAATGGCTTCATTAGTGTTGTGACACGAGAGATTCGTTGCAACGTCGGCAGTAGGTAGGGTAGGGGGCCGACGGTGAGTGTGAGGGAGGCAAGGGAGAAGGTGAAGGGTGGGACTAGGGTCTAGGGTTCTTGCTACTTTATATGTTTTATTTTATTTTATTTTTTTGTTAATTCCTAATTTGATCAGAAAGACCTAGTATACCCTCCACTAAAAGTCACATGTTGCTCATGTGAAGAAAATCTGTCAAAAATCTAACATTGTTTTCAATTAAACTTGCTATGCAAGGATTTCAAAGTTTGAGGGGTCAATTGTCATAATTTTTAGTTTAAGGAATAATTTGCCAATCGCGATAAGCTGATGGGGTACTCATGCAAAAAAAAAAAAAAAACATTGAGAGCAATGATAGGTAGTGGAGAGTGATACCTTTATGGTTTTGCTCCTAAATGAATAAAGGAACGCCTAATATGGCAACATATAAAATTATACATAGGCTTAGTTTGGTAGTGCTATAGATTTTAGAAAAATTATTTTTAGCTGTGCTGAAAGAAGAAGCAACTATTACAGAAAGCAGCTGAGTGTTTAGTAAATTATAATTATAGTAGCTGTGCTGGTTCTAAAATCAGTATAATAACGTTTGATAAATTATGAGGTTGAATTGCTGTGAATAGTTAAAAATTGCGACTATATTATATTATACTATAATATAATATATAATTACAGTATAATATATATAATAACTAAAATAATTAAAAATAATGATTATATTATATTATACTATAATATAATATATATAATTACAATATAATGTACATTTATCATTATATGTAATATAATATAATAAAACTATTATTAAATAACATATTATATAATTATGATATATAATATAATAATATTATTAAAATGGTTAATATAATTACAATATTATAAAACATATTATAATATTACATAAGAAATATTAATATTTCAGTTATAATATAATTAAAAATTATAACTATATTATATTATAATATAATATAATATATTATATTATCATTATTATATTGTATTAAACAAATATATTATAATTAATATATTATATAACCATAACGTGTGTAATACACTATAATATATAATAATATTAGAATTATAAGATTATATTAATATTTAATTATATTAATTATTATATTATTATTAATATAACAAATATAATTATATCAATATAATATAATGTAATAATATTATTGTAACATTATTAATATAATAAATATAATTATGTCAATACAATATAATATATTATAAAATAATAATTACAATATTATATTATAATTATACTATCATATTATTAAAATAATTATAATATAATTATAATATCATATTATATGATAATATAATAATATTAAAGTTAATAATATAATTATGATGTTATTTGTTAGAATATTAATATTATATTACGAGTCTGAATTTTAAATTGAGAATATTGTAAATTTTAAATTTCAGTTGGGATATTATGAGTATTATGAGAGTTTCATTAATTGTACTATGTTAATTATCGCATAATCTAAAAATTAAAGTTGTCTTTAGGCTACTTCTAATTTTAGCTGTAGATTCTTAAAAAATTCTTCAAAAAATACTTTTAAGGAGATTTACTAAACACTAAAATCAACTCTTGCCACAAACAGAAACTAATTTTAAGAGAAAAAAACAATACCAAACTAATCCATCAGAGTTATTTTAATGCATATATGAGCTTATTTCAAACATAGTAGATTAGTAGTAGTGTATGAAAGGCGTGGGTTCTAGTCATGTTACGAGATAAGGACATCTAAACCCGTTCCGAGACGTAAAGCACGCCCTTAAAGCTTAAACCCGAAGAAAAAATCGGATATAACCCATCTTATTGGAGTTTAGTGGGGTAGCGGGTAAAATTGCCATTCAATAGAACCTTGATTGATTGATTAGGCTCTACAGTAGGCCTAACGATTGTGGTTTGCGGTGAGGTTGGATCATGGGCCTACCTTCTTGCAACAGTTTTTTATAGATCTGTTTTGAGGAGAAACATTGGAAAGGAATCTCCAAAATCATGACATATTAGAAAACAAACCATGGATTGTCTGTTCACTAATCATGTAATTTAAAGATGGCTCCAAAAGAAGAGGACAGACATGCGTTGGTGTTGTCGGTGGTATTTGTGTTTAGTTCTCTTAACGAAGCCTCTTTTCTCAAAGCTTTTTTTTTTTTAAAGCTTGATACTTTGGCTGAATGCAGGTACATTTTGCCTTGAACTTCACGAAAAAAGAAAAAAGGAACAATAATCATCATTTAAGAAAAGAGGACATTTTTAGTGAGTTTTTTAACGGCTAAGTGCAGAGACATTAGTGTTTGCATACCTAATTAGTGTTCTAATTTGTTTTCTTGTCTCCTAATGGTGCTACATTCGTACCTTACTTATAAAAAAAAATTCAAAAAAATTCAAAAAAGTCCTCATTATTTTATTTTAAAACGATTTGCCTGTTTATGATTCCTCTATCCTATGTATTCTGTTCTCATGGTCATCCTTTGCTTTTGTTTTTATTTTCCCAAATTTCCTCAATTGCGGCTATGAGACTGTAGATTCTTCCTTTTCTTCATTGTTGGCTCTTTTTTTCTTTTTTAAATAATAATATTGTTGGACTAAATATGACATTATTTTCTAATTTAATTTTTTTGTTTTTACAAAAGACAGCACTCCCGGTACACTGTAGAGGCTCCTGACTCGTATCAATCTTGTCATGTCCGCTCTCTTACACAAGTTTAGTCCCTTTGAATTTGTCGTATTGATTTTGTTACCTTTTCTATTGCCAATTTGATACCAAATTTTGATTGATAACAAATTTTGATTGATAACGACCCTGTTTTCCTATTCCTATTCGCGATTCCGTTAAAGATTTTATTTTCTTTTCTATACCCTTTTCTTTTTTTTTCCTTAGTCCCTTTGAATTTGTCGTATTGATTTTGTTACCTTTTCTATTGCCAAATTGATAACAAATTTTGATTGATAACGACCCTGTTTTCCTATTCCTATTCGTGATTCCGTTAAAGATTTTATTTTCTTTTCTATTCCCTTTTCTTTTTTTTTCTTTTCTTTTTTTTTTTAATGATATTGGTCCGTTGTGATTTGACTACATGGATTTTCTACATGATCAACCTTGGATTCAGCTTTACGACAATTGATAATTTGTCGTTTCATACGTTTCCTAGTGCATGGATACTTGCTGATATTTTCAGCAACTTCCATATTCAGATTTTCATCGTAAATATCTTATAATATCTTCCAACAGTAAAAGAATAACTACACATTCTCATTGAACTGAAAGATACAACTTACAAGGCAACTACAAAATTGCATGGTCTTTGTATACAATATGTGACTTTGACAAACAAAAAATCAGAAAATGAGATTTTTTATTTCGCTTCACTAAAATTACAATTACATAAATATATGCTTCATGCTAGGCAGAATTTCTATCTAATTATTGACCAAAAAAAAAAAAAAAACCATAGTGATGTTAGACCTAAAACTGAGAGTAGGTACATACATACATTCATACATATACTAAACTTTCTGTTAGGCAAATGATGAAGGTGTGAGTTTTGAGGAAGTCCATCCTCCATGAATTGCAAGCAGCAATTATTATTGGAGTAATAGATGGAAATCATAATCTTCCAATAATCCAAGAGCCAAAACCCAGGTGTACCCTCTTGGCCCCACCATGAGAGGGATCAGAAATGGCAGACAAAGCAATTCAATCATTCAGACCAGCCAACATTACATAATGCAAAGTTTCCCCACCATTTCTTCCCCAAAGCAACTCCTACCACCAGCTTGGATTCCATCTAATCTTTGAGAACAAAGGAAACAGGGTTTTCTCTGCAAGGCCCTACTTCTCCAGACTGCAACAATTTGGCCTTCTCTCCCAACAAATGACTTCGCGTCTAATTCCTTGTGGCCCGGCAGCAGTCAAAAGAAACAAACCCCATCAACTGGCAAATCATAATCGTGTGATTAAGCTGGCTATCCGGATAAAGCTAACCTCGGCCACTTGCTGATACCGAGACGGATTACAAAACCGTGCGATTGTTGCCACTTGCCACAACATAATTCGGCCTCAGCACCTTCAAAATCAGAAAAGGGCCCGCCTTTGCGTCGGAGAACGAAAAAAAAAGAACCCCAAAATTTACGATATCGTATAACCTTTCTATGACTGTTGATGCTGCCACCGAATCACTTGTCGATGCTGCCTACTTTGTATTTGCAGAGCTACGTAATCAGCCAAAGAGAGGCACTGCAGGCAACGTACCTGGCAAAAGGGAATAGACAGATTTCTGAAAGCCATGCCAAACCAAAAGAATGTCAACGATGTATCGGTAACCCGTAATTGTGGAATGATCTAATCCGTCCATCCCAGCCTGCAGTCACTATAACCATACCCCACGCATGAGAAGTGGGTGTGTTCTTGCAAGACGATTTCAGAAACTTCAATTGGGACCTGTGCATTGTAGATTGTTTGGCCTGTGGGCTTGATATTGGAAGCTTTTCCTCAGGCCAAGTGGCAGATGCCTTTGGAAAAGACTCTAAGAAGAATTCTTGGCTTATAGAAAAACATTCTAATGAAGAAAAAGGCAGAGTATCTGATATACACTTATCCACAATGTGGAACTGACTTCCGTTTTCAGAATTGCCACATTGCAAACCAGACCACGGTATCGCAACAGATGCGTTGGTGGAGAAACGCTCACAAGATCGAACTTTTTTCGATTGAGAGAGAACAGTTTCTTCTTCACCAAAGCAACTCCATAAATATACATTAGAATCCTCGCATGCCGAGACTATATGTTTTCCGTCTGAAGTGAAAGACGCAGATATCTGGTTTCCAGCATTTCGTAGCCCTGAAAAGAAAAGAGAAACGAGGGTTATAAGGAACACTTCAAAACTGGGAGAACCTTAACTATCGCAAGTTTATATTAAATATTGGGAGGACAAGACAAGGAGCATGGACGTACCACGGTACTTTCCAATCACATTAAGCCCATGAAGAACTCTGACTTGTGAATCAGCACAAGTGACCATCACAATGCTCGAGTCTTGTGGAGAAAACTGGATGGAATAAAACATAAATTTAAAAATTCCACACACGAAGGAAATATGTATCTGATGAATTAACTCATAAAGAAGACGAAACATGCAGAAAAAAATGTTGCAAACGGAGCACAAGAGGGTGAGACAAATACCTGAAAACCAGTTATCTTTCTGCAGGGTGACTTCTTTTTGTTGTGCAAGCATATCTGAGCATCCAATTGCAATCGATTATCTGATCCAAGTGACAAAGAAAAAGGATATCAGTATCACGTCCAAAATCCTTTTATTTTGAGCATCCATGGAAGGTACATAGGTTAAAGCTTAGGACACACTTAGCATGTATTTCCTACAAGAAATAGGGACGAGCTAATGCAATAACACTCTCTATTCAATCCATAATTCTCACAATCAGTCTATTCAGAGAAAATGATTTATTCGACTAAAACAAGACCATAGTAGTTAAAAATTGACACAACACATGAATTGACGAATGAGCAGGAAATTGGAACTTATCATAAAACTTCCCAATTTATGCCAAGGAAGTAAAGGAAAAACAGGGCAAACAATGCAAGACATTGTTAGGAAAACAAACCTGATATGTTGTAAAAGTGGCAACTGCCTGTAATTGAGCCAACAATTCCCCCCTACATTACAAAGATCTTATGTCAACAAAAGGCGCTAAGAACATAGGACCCTACGTCCACATGGCAAAGCAAGAAACAGAAAAAGAAAAAGAAAACCACCAACCTGCCCATCAGGGCGATAACACACTGCGGTGACGATTTCTCTTATGTCAGTCCAATCAACAACTTGACAATGAGGGATTCCCCAGATACGAACTTTTCCATCTATTGAACCACTGATGAAGTAATCATCATCCACGGGGTTAAATTGGACACAGGTCACTGCATGACACATGACATAACAAAAATTTATGAGAAATAGATTTGACATGTTATAACAGATGAGCTCAGGATTTTACTGTGGTATAAAATCAAGCAGGGCAATTACTCAACTCTAAAATAGTCAGTAGTAGGACGAAAAGAACACAAAAGAGAAAAGACAGGAACTCACCATAATTACTGTGGGAAAAAACTTGGAGGCAGTCATCACATCCCACTCGCCACAAACGAACAGTTTTGTCAACCGATGATGACAGGAGATGCTGCATCAAATAAGGAAAAGATATCAATTTGATTTCTATTTCGTAAAGGAAAAGGACCTTCTTCTTGAATTCAAATCTTAGTTCTTATTGAATAACCACTTACATTATTCTTTGACCACGAAAGATCCAAGATCTCCCCGCTGTGACCATGAAACTCGTGCAACGGCTTCTCCAATATTCGAAAAACTTTTGGAGGAAAAATAACACAAGCCGAGTCTGAAGTTTTCTTCAAGCTCGTCGCTTTACCCATTTTCTCCTTATCCACAAACAGGGGCTTCACTTCTGACATGTGATTCACTGTGAAGTATAAGCAGGAAGGATCCAGTTCTGGAATGTGAAGTTCATTGGACCTCTCATCTTCCACAACTTGCCAGAGTCTTACCACCCCATCTTCACCAGCACTGGCGAGGTACTGCCCATCGGGACTGAATTTCATTGTCAAAATTGAGCCTTCATGGGCTTGGATATCTTGCCCCATGTAAAGAGCCGAAAGTTCCTTAGATCGCTTCCCGGATTGGCGAACCCTAATTCTTTGAGCCCTAGACCGTATAATTGCATCAAAGTCATTCGGTCTCAGTCCATCAGCACCCTGCCTATCACCAATGCATGTCATGGATCTTAATTTATTCAACCACCTGCTCTTAACCCCCTTCATTGTTCCCTCCAAAAAGCTTGTCTCCCTCAGTTTTTGGGAGAAAGGAGATGACCCAGAAGCACTCTCAGACTCCGCAGGCGACACCAGCCGCCCCAACCCTGCTTCCCGACCTTCACTCTTCTTCTCACACCGCCCCACTTCCTCCTCGTGACAACACTCCATTCCACCACAAAAATTCCCATCTCGGCACACAAAACTCTCCCTCGAACCCGAACCGTCCAAAAAATTGTAACTACCATAGGACCCACATGACACCAAAGATCGACTTGAATAGAACTCGCTTTCGAAACCCGAACTTCTCAACACAGCCCCACTATTATCCTCTCTAACTCTAACAACCTCAATTTCCATACAACTATCCATCAAATCCTGATTGGAATCCAATCCCGTCCACTTGAGGAAATTACTCCGACGCTCCTTAACGCTCCTCGGGCTTCGAATCCAAACATCGTAGTCAAAACGAGAATTCGAATCGAAAGTGTCAGAATTTGCATCAGAAATCGATGCAATATCTTCTTGGGCATCAAAAAATCCATTTTCCTCGTCCTCACTTAAGCTACCCATTATAGTTTCTAGTTCAACCCATGAAAAACCAACCTCAAAAGACCAACATTTTAAACCCTAGGCAATGTGGTTCAACTCTCTAATCCCTTTCCAGGCAAGCAACCCGAGAAGAAGAAAAAACTAAAAACACAAAAAACACAAAATTCGAGATAAGTCAAAACAGAAATGCTTATAAAATCCCAAACAACAATGTTAATAAAGAAGAATAAAACAAAAACCAAGAGATCCAACATGGATCCCAATCCACGCCCATTGAAACCTGGTCTTCCCCAGAATAAAAATTGATAGGTTTCAAATAAGCAACAACAAAACCAGAAATGATAATAACAATAATATTAAAAAAAAAACCCCAAAATTCTGCAGCGGAATAAGGGTCCATACCACTTCTCAGTACACAGAGAAGAAAACCCATTAACGGAATTTGAAGATCATTTGATTACAGTTGAAGAAATAAATCCAACAATAGAGAAGAAAAATATATGGTTCAAAAACGAAACGCGAAACGCGATTCTTTTATATACATATATAAAAAATGAATATAAAGTATGCTTACATGGTTTTCTTCTTTTTGTAATGGGAATTCTCTGAGAGTGAGGAGAAGGGCGACGATCGAAGCAACCATGAAAAAATATTGTAGTTTTTTTAGACTCTCTCTGTCTCTCTCTCTCTCTCTCGGAGCAAAAGGAAGAGCACTACGGAAAAATAAAAAGGGAAGGAAAAATATTATTTTCTAAATAACTATAGAACGAATTGATAATGACCGTTTAATTCACTGATTTAAATTTTTAATTTGAGTTGTTAAAATGTAATTTTATATAAAAAAATTTTATTGTAATAAAAAAGTTAGATGTGATTATTTTTAAAAGTTTAGGTTCGTTTATTTTGTAGATTTAAATTTTCAATTCGAGCTGAGATGTGATATTTTTTTAGAGCTTTTTATTATAATAAAAAAAGTTAGATGTGACATTTTTTGAGAGCTTTTAACTGTAAAAACTTAAAATTGAAAACTCAAATCCATAAAATGAACAAAAATAAAACTCAAATAGGTAAAATTAACGGATCAATATTTATTTTTAAGAATAATTTTGGGGTCAGGGGTAAAACAGGAACAAAGCTAATAATTTCCTTGATATTCGTGAATGGATGGCCCGAGAAACGAGATTTTGGGAGTAAGGATGTGTTTTGCTCTCTCTCTCTATAAATTTACTATATGATGATTTTATTCTTATTTCTCTTCTTTTTCCTTTTCACTCACTTTTTATTCTAAACTTTTTTTGCATGGATATTTTTAGATTTACTATCGTTTAATTGTTGGATATGTTTTTCTTTTCTTTTCTCTACTTTATGTCCGCACAAGTACAGAACACCGCAACTTTATGTTTGGTTAATTAATTCTTTCACTATTTGCGTAAAATTTAATTTGTAAGAAACAAAAGATAGAAAATGTACATATTAATTATGACCAATTTGTGCTTAATTTTATTTTTGAATAAAATATTGCGCTCCATTTCATTTCTCTGGCTGAGCATGCGTAATTTTTTTTTTAAAAAGGCTTGCGTAATGTTGGAATAAGCACACAAATCAGATTTTTTTATAAAAAAAATCTGAAATTAATTAACACACAAAAAAAGAAAAATATATTGTTAGAAACCGATGTGATGCGTCTTGCTCTTTTAAAAAAATAATAATAATAAAAGATCAAGGAAGAAAAAGAAAATCAGTGCCCCTCTCAATAAAATTAGGATTTATTTATTTTTTAATTTCATCCTGGAAGAATACTTGTAGAATTTGCTAAGATATATTGGGGTCTGGTTACCAAATTCATCGATTTATATATATAATTTGTGTCTTGCAAGCAATCGTTCCACATAAGTCTTGTAACAAATATTTCATATCTTTAACAATATAGTCATCTGGTCGGTCGATTTTTAATGTGCTTTGTTCTTTATATATAAACCATCAAAATAGGCGTCTAATCAAGGATTTATTTGCTTTGAGCCCTTTTTTGTTGTTGTTGAAAATAGTAAGAAATATGCCAATATGAAAAATTTAAGAAAGTATATAAGTCAATTTTTAATTATAAAAATTAATAGGTCATAACTTATCAAGTTATGGTTCATAACCAAATAAGTTATGGATAAATTTATCAAGTTATGATTCATAACCAGATAAGTTATGGACAAACTTGTCAAGTTAAAGTTCATAACCAGATAAATTATGGTTCATAACCAAACAAGTTATAGACAAAAACAGTAATTTGACATGTTTATTAACTTATGAAAACTATTAACCTATTAATTTTAATTCATCTCAAGTCTTAACTTATTTTTCTCTTTCTCCTTTTTTTTTTTTTTTTTTTTTTTTTTGTTTTCCTCCTTTGAGGAATCCCTGTTGTTAGTGGGAGTCGGTTAACATAAATGGGTCAGTGCCAAATTTTTGACTCGAAATTGTTTTATGTAATTTGAAATTGATTTATTTTGAGCAAATTTGAAATTGAAATTGAAAAAAGAAAAAAAGGGTTGATTCTATCCTCACAAAACAACGCTAAAATAAGTGAAGTGGTCAATAGTCAGAGATGATGACCTATATGTTGGTTTTATTCTCTTTTAGACCGGTGACCAATGTCAATTTGTCACTCACTTGACATTTCTCAAATTACTTTATTAGGTCATGCCCTTTTTTTCCTTTCTTTTTTTTTTTATGCTTTTAAATGTCATAATTAGGTCTAGGAATTTCCATGTATCTCCAACAAGACCCAGCTGACAAATAATAATAATAATAATAATAATAAAATAAAAAAAATGACAGCTGAAAGCTGTCTGTCACCTGTATAAGGGCATGGGAGTAATGCATTTGCCCATGAATTTGCAGCCCCAAAAATCATATAATTAGTTTCATCCTCTAGGACCCCATTGTTTTTCATATTATTAATAATTGCCCGGATTCTGAAATATTATTTTAGTTGTTGGCATTGAAGATTTAAATAGATTATTGAGATCCCTCAATTGATAATTGCGGTTGGTTTGAGATTTCATGTGATTCTTAGGATCCAATAATATGAAGCTAATATATTGCCATAATTATAATTCATTAAAGGGAGATTCCAATAATATTTTAGAGATTATAACTGTGGGATTAACCAAAAAAACTGTAAGCTTGCCAAAAAGTTCACTTTAAATGTAATTGAATGCTAAAGTAAAATTGTTGGTACGAATTGGGTTAGCTAGCTTGCTTTTAACTCCATTAGGTTTATGTCGCCATTAAATCCAAAATAAAATTAAAACCCTAAAAAAGTCAAAAGTAAAAAGTGGGTTTGTTTCAAACAAACCGGGCAATTTTACTTTTTAATCTCTTTGATGACAAGGATCCCCTAAACCAGGGAAATGGTTAAGGTTTGTCCTGTCCCTTAATACAAAGTTTAATAATTGTCTTATTGCTCGGTACACTTATGAATTATGATTTTCAAAGTATTTGGACAATATTATGCAATTGCTAGCTCTTGATGTAGAAGTTAAGTTACGTGCATATATATATATATATAAATATTGTTCATTTCACTGATTCGAGTTTTGTTACAGTAAAAAATTTTGAAAAACAGTCACATTTAACTTTTTTATTACAATAAAAGGCTTTTACATAAATTCACATCTCCACTCGAATTAAAAACTTGAATCAGTGAATTAAACGGACCTATGCGACAATTATTACTCTGATTAAACAAAGTAGAATTAAGTCATTATTATATTAAAAAAAAGACCAAACCAATATTATTGGTTGCGTTGAATTATGACCAAAACTTCATATAGATATATGAAAAAGGAAAACCCTAATGATACAATGTTTCTTTGGTGTCCACCTTTTCTCTCGCAACTTTTTGTGTGATGGTGATTTGCACAAGTCGATCGTACTCGAGAACCCCCCAACAGTAAGAGACAAACAATCTTATAATTTTTTTTTTCTCTTTTCTTTGTGAGAAGTGTAGAGTGAGACACATCACACATTTGCATTTTTTTTTTCTCTTCTTTTGGCGTTAATTAAGCAAATGCCCTCCCGTTGATTTTGTTGCATATAATATTTAGTTTGCTATAGCACTTTTTTTCTCTAACATATAGAATATAGATGTAGATATTAGTTTACTATTGTTAGATATAAAAGTAGTTTGCTATACTTTTTTGACTACATTAACGGGGTTAATTAGTTGTTTATTTATGGTACTGCAGTTTCATATTGCTATCTTCGATATTAATTTATTTGGTGGGTTGAGTGTTGACGTGGGTTAATTTAGGTCAAGAAATATAATTATCTTCCATTATTTAATTCATGAAATTAAAATTAAAGAGAAATAACGCATAGCTATAATTAACTTAAAAGAGATCTCCAAATATGGCATTTGCAACCTTAAGAAAAGATCCCTAACTTGTTGAATTTTCTCGGCCTATTCTTTAATTTGGTAGGTTGTATCTCATCACCGGATTCATCTTCCCAAATTTCGTTGAAGGTTGATTTTATATATATATATATATATATTCTTATATATGTATGTATGTATGTACGTATATGTTACGTATCATGGTATGATATTCGGAATATATATAAAGAATTAGCCATAAAATTATATATAAATATTGATGAAGAGTCTGAAATATATATAAATACGCGTCAACCTTGTTTAGGGAAGAGTAGACTTGGTCTGATCTTTTTAAATATTCACAGCCAATTACAGAAAATAAGAAAATGGATAAATTACCTATCTAGGGAAAAAAAAATAAAAAATCAAGTTGGATAACATAAACCTACGTGGTATTTGCCGTGAGAAAAAACGTCACGCATGAGCAGAGCCTGCCTGTATAGGTGAAGCTAATCTTCTTTTAAAAAAAGTAAACTTTCACCATGCCCGAGTATAGTACGTGTTATAATTAGAAGAATTAATCTCATCGGTGCCCTTAAATTTTATAGTCATTCTCATTTTATCTCTTTAACTTTAAAAATTCTCACATAACCCTTTAAACTATGAATTTATCTCATTTAAGCTCTTTATAAGAATTTCTATTAAAATCAGATGAAAAAAAAAGATAAGTGTAATCATGTGCTTTTTATCTGTTTATTTTTAACAAAAATTTAAAATAAAAAGATTACTTGACTACACTACTCTTTTTTTAATCTATTTTTAACAGAAATCACAATAAAAGATATTAAATGAGAATAATTTAAAATTTAAAGAAATAAAATGAGAATTTTTAAAATTTAAAAATAACTTTAAAATTCAGGAAGCACTCGTAATAATAATCCAAAAATTTCATCATCTCTATCTCTCTGTATATAAATGTGTGGGTATATGTATATAGAAATTTTGTGGCTGAAGTTATATATTGAGAGGAGATAATGCTTTTCATTCTCATCATAACACACATGGGCCCGAGCACATGAACGCCATGCATGTGGCATATGATGCATAATTCATTTATGGCTTTGTACACATAACATGGGGCAAAAAGTTGCATTTTGCAACCATTTTGCAACCAATAAAGTTAGCCAGTGTTATTATTCTCAAAAAATAGAAAAGCAAAAAGAAAAACAGTTTGCTGGTGTTATTGGTTAGCCCAACAACACAACTCACAAGGAAATAATCGTAGAAAATATATATAATAATATATAGTCTTTCGGCTCT